CTGCCAGCGGAGTCCATTTTTTGACGTGACTTCGCTTCGTATTTGGTACTGGGCAGAAGTTTTTACACACAGGATCGGTTCAAACCCTTCAAGAGTCTGGAAGCGTTGTATCAGGATGTGTAGAGCCTCAGTGTTGTGGGGCAGTTACGTGGTGACAAGTACGTTGCAGTCGGGAAACGCAAAAAGTCGCTATTTTGGAACAGCCCCGGACTGTGTCTGGATAATAACAAGCAAAGGCTGCGGGGGCCATCGGCCGCCTTCCTCAGTCCGCACTGCCGCGACTGTGGCTGGACAAGGTGAGTGTTGCAAGTTGTCAGCGCCCTGTTCTACATGGACATTTACCACAGAGTAAAGGGACAAGCACACATGTAGCTCCAACAGATTTACCGTGTTCATGGCTACCCACGTTGCCATCTACATGTACATGTACAGCCCCGTACGCCGCGCCAGGGTAAAACACACCGATTTCTGATCAGCAAAAAAAAGATAAAAGCCGATCTTGAGAACATGAGACGTGGACATGGAGCCAGAACAACCCAAGGACAATGTTACTAACAAGAAGAGTGTTCAAAACGTAGATTGTGGCCCAAAATACGCAACTATCGCCAAGAGTTTGCATAGCGTACCATAGCGATAGGCACCATGTTGCACCCCCTAATGGCAGACAATGCTCGCTGCCGGGGGGGAAGAGTCACGTGACAATCGGTGGTGAATAAGCCCTATACGTAGCCGGCTCTCAAAATTTAGCATAGAGCATTGTCGGGAACCCCCCATGCAGGCCCCCCTACATGTGATCTTCTTGAGTTCAACAAAGTTGTTTCGGTAACGCTCTGGGAAAAATCTGCATAAGAGAGCTTGACTGACAGACGTGTTTTTGATAAATGATAGATTAATATGCTGACAGATTGATATGCTCTGTCAGTAGAGACAAATTTTACAAATTGTCTCCACATGACACCCCCCCCCCCAAGGCATAAGGCGTAGGAAAAGTAAACAATACAAATTGTCCTTAAAAAATTTGCATGACAAGAAATTGTTTGTGAAGGTTTGGGGTCTTGGAAACTTGTTTTGGAATGACCAAGAAGGTTATCCTTGGAATGACATCATCATGGCATGAACTACTTTCAAAATCCAGCAAAACAAAAATTATCATACACTGTGGAGACAATATGCACAACGTGTATTAATAGTAATACATAGAATGACAAAATATGAATGCCAAAACTATTAAACGATCTTACATTCCTATGAAGAATCTTTAGTGACCTTTGCAGAACAACAATGTGTAACCCAGCAGCGGTAGCTTGTGTACGTGCTTTAACCTATGGAACTGTGTTCGGGCTAAATGTGAACCAGCTGGCTGGAGTTGCAAGCCGACCCCCGGGGCATAGCTGCACGGCCCAGTCAGGGACGTATCATTATGGTCAGCAGAACGCCAATTTGGCGGGCTGATTTGCGTCTAACTACTGTCATAGTTTTTCCACACAAGCTGATTTCACCGTTCCCTCAGAAACGGGCAGATGAGCCCGTGACACAGCACCCTGGTTGCCAGCCAAGTTTACGGGCCGCTAGCCTTTTCTTTCGGCAGCCAGAAGCCCTTCGCCCGCAGACCTAAATTACCGCTGCGGTGGCGAGGTTTCGGCCCTGCAACTAGCCAAACTCCCCCCGGGCTAGACTCCCCCGTAGCGCTTATTTACACCAGCGGGCGAAGGGCTCTTGCTGCCCGGAAAAAGACTTCTGGCTTCCAGGGTAATGACACAGACACTTATCGGCCTATACTAGGGGAGGGGGGCGGGTTATACACAAACGCAAGAAGTGAGGACATATTTTTCAGTATCTCCGAGAGGAACGTGCGCCGTTTTGCGAGAACAGTCACAAGAGAAGGAAGCGTGTCCTTACCTGGGTGACGAGGGGTACTAGTGTTTGTTCCACGGACTTGGTTCTGATTTCTAGCGGTTTAGAAGTGGGAGTGGTCGGACCGCTACCCTCCGGTGATGCAGCCATCTTGGCGATCCAGGAACAGGGACATACCATTGTGGACCGTTATAGGGGAGGTGTGCTCCAAGTACTCTCCAAGCAGAGGTTTGGGTTTTGGGGGTATTTTTAGCGTGTTTTTAGGCTTTTTTATCAGGGTTTCTCTTTTGCACTGAATTTTCTTCCCAGCAAACCCAAAAGAGAAACCCCGATAAAAAAGCCTTAAAAACACGCTAAAATACCCCAACAACCCAAACCTCTGCTTGGAGAGTAACTATGCTCCAAGAACATACCACTCCCCACAGCCCTATTAAACACTAACCTCAACCATAACTCCAAAAACACTTATCTAACAGTTAGGCCACACCAATTTAATTTGTTGGTTCACGGATTCGCCCGCATCCTTTTTTTTTTTCTGATTTGCAGAAAAAAATAGTAAAAAACATTTCAGATCATTTTCTGAGGCTCTGAATCAACTCCAAAATGCTGATATTTTGGCCCAAAAGTTGAAGGAAGTCCATTCTCCTCAAAGTTGTTGCAGTTTTTCCATCTATCAATGCAGACTGGTTTGAAATTCATTGTTTGAATTACAAACCAGCAAAATGAATTTCAAACCAGCCTGGTATGTTAACTTCATGGTTCTCATCATGCAAATAGGATAATAAATTGCATGAATTATATCTGTTGATTATATTCTACACAAAAAGACAGTCTTATGCTATTAGGCCACACCAAGTAAATTTTATGGATGACGTCCACGCGCGCATTGATTTTGGCCTGTTCCTAGAAAAAAACCCAAGAAATTCCGCTTCCTGTAACTATGACCAAAGAGTCACGACAGTGCCGCAAATCGTTAGATTGACGTGAAACCCGTAACACGAAATGGGTAAAGAGCACATGCTTTGTTTCTGCATGCCTGCAAAAATGTGATGAAAGGAACAGGACAGGATGACAACTGCTGTTCCACCTGATTTATTGCTGTTTTGATGATGAATAAAAGACTTCTTGCTTGTTACACTGTGTCACCTCATTCAATTTGTGTCCTAACATTTGTCGTCTCTTAGTATATTTCTAATCTATCTAGGCATCTTGTTTTTTAGGGCCCTTCTTGTTTTTTTTCTCCCTCTCGCATTAGATTTAGGGTCTCCAAAGGACGTCATCCATAAAATTTACTTGGTGTGGCCTTAAAGCATGTCCCCATAAATTATGCAAATGAGGTCCTTATTTGAATAAGTTATGCTTAATTATATTCACCTGTACTTAACTTTCAAATACCCCAAGTATGAAATTCCAGGCAGTTACGATCAGTTACCACTTTGGAATTATAACATTTTCTCATTAATTATGCAAATCAAGTCTTAATTTGCATAATCCTTATCTGCCTGTTTCTCTCGTTCTTAAAAAAAACGTCACAAGCTTGAATAGTACTATCATGGAGTGCAGCTGATTCGTAGAATTTCCTAATATATTATGCAAATCACATCCATATTTGCATAATTGTTATATCATTATGACAAGCCACCAGGTGGCCCAAAATCTAATCACTTTCGAGTCTCATCAAGACCATCAAGGCCTTCGTGAGTTATCGTGTTTACACACAAACACACACACACACAGACACACGAACGCCAACAAAAACATAACCTTCTTGGCGAAGGTATTTACAGGCTTCTCTGAAAGCCCAGTCTACCCATGCCCATAGCCAGGATTTTGAATGGGGGGGAGGGGGTACTTCCCACTGCTTTAGGGACCTGCGAGCCCCAAGGCGCAAGGTTCCTAGGGGGGTCAGGTGCATGCTCCACTGGGAAATTTGAAAAATGAACCTTCTGAAATGGCATTTCCTGCATTTTTTAAAGGACTTCAAAGAAAAAATTGGAGATAACTTTTTTCAATGACAAAATGAGCAGTTTTCCTATGATTCCAGCCTTGCTGGTGACACGAATCAGTCCATCTTTTAAACAAAAAATCTTGGACCTTTAGATAAAAAGTGGACCAAAAAGTGGACCTTTGAGCCTTGTACGAACCCCCCTGGCTATGGGCATGATACCATTTTATCTTTCTTTCAGGCCACACCAATCTAATTTCTTGGTTAACGGATTTTTCTAGAAAAATAATGGAGCGGGCAGGCGAAGAAAACAAATAAAATCAGGCCTAGGCATCCTATTATGGCCCAAAATGATAGGAGCCATGAAGTCAACACACCAGGCTGGTTAAAAATTTAAACAATGACTTTTGAACTTTTAATGATACCACTGCATTGAAAGATGGAATAACTGTAACAAGTGGCGTCGTGTGGTGTAGTGGTACATCACTGGACTATGAAACGGGGAGACCCGGGTTCGATTCCGAACAAGTCCGAACATGCGCTCCGACGTTGTACCCTTGGGAAAGGTACTTTACACGAATTTCCTCACTTTACTCAGGTGAAAATGAGTACCTAGCTTTGGTTAGGGACGTCCCTCGGATAGGACGTTAAATGGAGGTCCCGAGTTTGGGACAGCCACACCCCACGCACGTTAAAGAACCCACCGCACTTATCGAAAAGAGTAGGGGACCTTCCCGGTGTGAGTGGTTCAAACCTTACAGTCTTGTCTCGGGGTTGGCATCTTTGAAAAGGTGATAGTCACCTGTTAAGTCAATCCTTCCACAAATGTGGTAAATCTTCATAAATAAATAAATAAATAAGTAGGAAGAAAAGGACTGTTTTTAACTGTTCAGGGCAAAATATGAGCATTTTACAGTTGATTCTGAATTTTTTTTTTTTTTTGCAAATCAGAAAAAAATTAAGCAGGTACTAGGTGAATCTGTTTGTTAACCAAGAAATTAAATTGGTGTGGCCTCATGCATTCAACTCCAACCTACATGTAAGCACAAAGCAACACCTGGTATCATTAGCAGACTTTATTGCACATTGACTTCCTCATTGGAGAAACACAGTTCTCTCCCCCACCTGGTGGAAGTGAGTACCCAATGTTGTTCCCTCCTGGTCTTCATGTCTTACCATTTTGGTAGTTTTTTTTTTTTTCTTGCATCTCACAAGAAAATGCTGGTAGTTTTATACTAATTATAGAACAAGTACAAGTAGCTAATTCTAACAGCAGGGCTCGAAATGTTTTTCTGTCTACCTGCACCAGTGATGCAACATCTGAAATTACACGTACCTGCACCAGACAAACTTTACCTGCAACACTTTTTACAGTTTATTCACAAACAAACATTTTTAATGTTCCTAGAAGTACCAATTCAACCTGCTGTATACAGGACACTTCTGAGAAGAATTGGATACAGTTTGGGGCTACTTCTGGCTGCACATGTCTAAAGTGTCACAGATGACTTTACCATGGCCCAGTGCAGGTTAGGTGCAGGTAGACATCAGAAAGACCTGCACAGCTCCAAGTTACAGCTCCTGTACTAACCTTACATACATGTATGGAGGTGGTATTTCGAGCCCTAAACAGCATTCACCAATTTCACACTTCCCATAATGCCTAGTAAAAGTCACGGATATGACGTAAGACCACCCCTCCCCCTTCCTCAATGTAATATTTCCAACAAGTTCTATCGACAAACTGGTCAATTATTGTTTTGAATTATTTCTCTAGTATAAAGCGCATGCCATAATTGCATTTTCGTTGGAATTAGAGAAAATGTCGTACCTTCTATCGTTCTACCTTCTACCGAAGACTCTCCTACTTGCACGGTCGCATTACGTATATTAGAACGATAGAAGGTACGTCATTTTCTCTAAATTCCAACAAAAATGCAATTATGGCATGCGCTTTATTCTAGAGAAATAATTGAAAACAATAGTTGACCAGTTTGTAGATAGAAGTTGTTGGAAATATTACATCGAGGAAGGGGGAGGGGGGTGGTCTTACGTCATATCCGTGACTTTTACTAGGCATTATGGGAAGTGTGATTTTGGTGAATACCTCAGCTGACTCCAAACCTAGCAAACATCACATACACAATAGTTCAACATACAGTACATCAGATTAATAACATCAACATTAAAATCTTTCTCATGATACTGTGACAATCATTACTGACATTTCTGTTACAATTGGTTACTCTGTGCAATCATGCTAGCCTGCCAAAAACCAGGAGCTTGTTATATTTTTGAAGCAAGCTCCTTTACAAACGTAGACATGTGATGTAATCATTGACAATATGTCCCACAAACCATGAACTTGTTGCGAGAATTTTGGCATACTGTATAACCTTTCATTCAACATGTGTAAGCCTTCTGCTGCATATGAAAAAGTCTTGGGCTAAATTTGTATCAGATACATAACAGATCATACAACTTATTACAAGAGTCACTTACAAGTTACACATTCACCCACATCGAATGAAACTAAAAATTCCTTCAAACCCAGTTGTATCAGCTCAGGGTAAGGTTTATACAGACAAAATATACCAACTTCAAGGTATTGCAAAAAAGAAAGGAAATTTCTATACAGTTACAGTGTGAGTGAGTTACAGTGTTAATTCCAATGACATACGGAGTAACTATTACACTGTACATCCATGTACGCCACATTAACATTAAGAAATACAAAATAGGACATGAGCAAGCATCATATCTACGTAAGACCAAACCCAATCATTGTACATGATAAAAATGACTATAAACTTCAACTTACAATGATGGGGCAGACAGCACTGTATTATTTCTACAGTCAGAAAAGACCTCAGTTAAATACTTCTGCTCTGTAGTTCTGTATCAGTATAGCCGAAATATGAAAACCGCCCTTGGTCACAACCCGCCGTACATGCTTTTTGTCCGAATGTTTTTTGGGAGGCTACGTCTGCTACGTTTTTTCTGAAAACGTGGGGAAGGAGTTGCGTCAACGCACGTCACTTGCACAGTTTCGCAAGGTGTAAGAGTGTGGTCTGCACGCCAAGTGGTGAGTTGTAAGTGCTTACAACGTACGATCTCTGTGCAGGTGGAAACTTTACTGTAAGGCCGTACTCACATGTACGTCTTTCGTACGGTACGTACGGGGCACGCGCGTCGCCCGTACTTGCAGACCGTAGACCGCACGTAGAAAAAGTTTTACACACACTTAAAGTTCTACGGTGTGTCTGCGTGCTCCCAAATCTGTAGGATTCCGTACAGAGGCAGTACTCACCACGCATGGATGTCCTACGTTTGCCCACGTTTTTGCACGTAGACAGCACGCAGAGGCACGTACGGCGGGTTGTGACCGAGGCTTTAGGCATACACTGTATGACCTGTTCTAACACACTCTGAACAGGGCCCACCAGCCTACCTGAGAGCATGGTCAAAATTTTTGTTTTCATGTCATCTACTACATCATAACCATCAGGATTGAAAAGTAACATTTCAATAAAAAAGCAAAACTCCTCCAATTAAACACTTAGACAGCGGGATCATCACAGTAACTCCAAACATTACTACAAAGATACAACATTGAAACAGTCTGTGTGCTTATACTTAAAAATGCTTAGCAATACTTACTACACACTTCCATTCTTCATTCTACAACACAGAGGTAGTGGATCATAATGGTACAAAACAGACATGATAATACATCAGTATCAATGTTGTGACAACAATAGAACAAAATGCATGTACAGAAATTCTACATTGTGTCGTCTCTACACTTGGTCTCCTCCAAGTCATATAATGAAATATTATTGAGCCTGGCAATTTGATCCCGATTTCGATGATCAGTAACTTTTCTTCTGCACTAGATCTGCACTGTGTGACAACATAAGGCCAAACCAATTTAATTTCTTTGTTAACGGATTGGCCCGCTCATTTTTTTCTGATTTGCAAATAAAAATAAAAATTCAGAATAAACTGCAAAATGCTCATATTTTGCCCTGAACAGTTAAAAACAGTCCTTTTCATCTTAGTTGTTACAGTTCAATGCAATGGTATCATTAAAAGTTCAAAATTCGTGGTTTAAATTTTGAACCAGCCTGGTGTGTTGACTTCATGGCTCCTATGACCATTTTGGGCCATAATAGGATGCCTAGGCCTGTTGTTATTTTTTTTCGCCCGCCCGCTCCATTATTTTTCGAGAAAAATCCGTTAACCAAGAAATTAAATTGGTGTGGCCTAACCATAGCACATACAGTCTTCTCTTGGCCTGATGGACCAAGTGATGGAACTGTATGCGACTTCAGCCAAGGGCCAAAGATGGGGGCCTGCA